TGGTGCGAATAGCCTGGTTCGATCTTGAGAATTCACGATTTCTCTGTCAGGGGTTATCCCACTTTCGCAGGATCACGAGACCTCGTGCGACTTCGTGGGGCTTTGACCTTGCAGTTTTGAGCTCTTCGCTTCAGGTCGCTGTTTCACGCCCATATCTGGGTGCCGTTCAGACTCCATGCGTCAGCCTCCCGAGTTTGGGGGAACTTCGATTTTATTAGTCGAAGCTTTTGTTTCGTTGTCAGCCACCCTGGATCTCACTAACGATATCTGAGGGTCTTCCCTATATTGCGAGTAAATGTTTGTATTGATATGTTCTTTTGAGGCCGTGCAACACGCTTATGCTGGTGAATCTTCCTAGAGTATCCTATGATCGGTTCAGTTGCGCGTAAAGTGAGAGTAGTAAGACCATTTTCACGTGGTGGTGGTGCTGTTGGTATGATGTCATCCTGACGTAACCTTGGCCGTATCTTTCCTGTATTGGGGGCAGATGCCTTTGCCCTCTCGTCTGGTGTTATCACTAAAATTGGTTCCACTGACGCTGTTCTGTTGTAAAGGGATCATGCGACCTCTGACTCCATCGAAGGAAGGAGGGTGATGCGTTTTCCATTCTTGGTGAATGAATAAATTTTTTATATCCGTCGTGCTGAGTCTTCGATCATATTGTCAAAGTCATTGCAACAAAAGGTGACAAACATCCATTGGGACCACGTCACACCAAACCAGGTCTTGCAGCCGGCCTCTGATCGAAAATTTTACCAAGCATCTTTAGTCGATGTTGGCGTGATTCTCCTTCTTTAGCCATATGAGTGAATATGATTGGGAATGCCTTTGAGTTGCCAGTCCAAATTCTCAACCATGTACGTCGATGCAACATTCTTGCTGCACCAGCTGTCGATGATTGGACTGCATTCCTTTCCCTTCAATGTGAAGCCGGTGTAGAATCTGTTGTGGGAAAACCACTATGATTACTTAGTGTCATCAGCCCGTAGGATCTGTAGAATCAAAAGCGCCTCTCCTTTATCCGGGGAAGCTGATACTCCTCACCTTGTTCCTCGGTTTTCTTTCATCGCTAATTTCATCTATGGCGCCTTAATCTGTGAGCGTGACAATCCTGTTCGTAGGGTAGCTGGAGTCAAAGTGGCCGTAGTCGTGGCATCGATAGCACTTTATGGTTGACACTGTGTTTGAGGAGTTGCCGTTCTTCTGTTTCTTCCTGCTTTTTTCCATAGTATCATTTCTTTGTCCGGGCTTGCCTGTGTCTTTCGAGATATCTCTGTCGGTCGTGGTAACTGTTGGTGACAACCTGCCTGAAAGTTGCTGCTTGAAAGATGATTGCTGTCGGCTCTGCTTCTATCGCCTTTTTTCTTTTAGGGCTAATGTCTGGACATCCCCGAACGTTTAGTATGGCTGCAACTGTACCAAATTGCTGATGACAGGTTTCAGACCCCTGAGATATCTGGTTATTGTTTGTTCCTCTGCCTCTGTCTGTCCGCATTTCATCTGCAAGTGGTCGAATTGGGCAATGAAATTTTTAACTAAAAGTTCCCTCTACTGCAAGCTGTGGAGAACGTTTGTTATGGCTGCAACTGTACCAAATTGCTGATGACAGGTTTCAGACCCCTGAGATATCTGGTTATTGTTTGTTCCTCTGCCTCTGTCTGTCCGCATTTCATCTGCAAGTGGTCGAATTGGGCAATGAAATTTTTAACTAAAAGTTCCCTCTACTGCAAGCTGTGGAGTTTTAGAAGCATATCCGGGCGATAGTGAGGTGGGAGGTTCTTCTTTTGCATATTTTCTTCATCTTTTCCCACCTAATGATTTTTTCACTACCTTCCATCTTCCTCTGCATCTGCACATTTTTCCAACATAGAGAAGCACTCTTCTTCAGCTTAATAGCTGCTAGCTTGACCCACTTGTCTTCTGGTACATCTTTATATTAAAAAATTTGTTCAACAGATTGTTGCCAATCGATAAACTCACTGGGATCCATACTTCCCTTGAACCCTCAGAGGCCCATCTTGATCCCAAGTTCCTACTGGCCTCCATAAGCCTCTTCTCTTGGCCTCCTTTAATATTGAATACCAAAATGGCGTGCCCGATATTCTTCGTCCCTTTGATCTTCCTTGTGGAATGGATTAAGATCCTTCTCTCTGTCTGTCTTACGGCTCTCTCGATCACGGTTGAAAGTAATCTCTTCCTGGTTCCCGTCTTCTAACTTGGCTAGTCTCTGTTGCGACGACAAATTTCACGTTGCATTTCTTCCCGAGTAGAGCCTGATGTATCTCTCCTTGGTGGCATGGCCAGAGTTGGGAATTGCAAGAAAAAAAAAGTTGATGGAGGTGAATTTGGTAGGGGCGAGTGCTGGGGAACCCTAGAATAAGACTAGAGTTGAGCTAGCACTGATACCAAATGTTACCGGAACTAGTAGGAAAAATAGTGAAAAGTCAAATAGTACTCTTTGATTAATATTAAAATAAAATTACAAGATGACTCAAATAGAAATAACAACATACGACATATGTCGACACAAACAACACCCCTAAATGTAACCCAATGGATGATGATGGTCGGCCAGAGGAATAGGAATGTTTAGAAGCAATGTCGTTAGTCACGGAATGTGGCTGTTAGCGAAGGAAATGTGTGAAACTAAAGGAATAACAAGTGGAAGCGTTGTAGGTGGTTGACAACAATAGTTTTTAGAAGCAATGTCGTTAGTCACGGAATGTGGCTGGTAGCGAAAGAAATGTGTGAAACTAAAGGAACAACAAGTGGAAGCGTTGTAGGTGGTTGACAACAATAGTTTGGTTGTTGGGAGGGGTTTGAAAGGAGTTAAGTAGGCAGGGCAAGAGTAATGATTTGCAGGTAGGGGAAACAGTTGGATGTCAGGATGACGGTGGGTGAGTTCAGCGATGGAGGAGT